TTTTAGTATAAAAATAAAAAATATTTATTAATAAAATAACAAATTTTAATATAAAGCAATAATATCAATTTTACTATGTTTCTATATTTTTTTTCAATTTCCAGTAATATAATATAGGAGTATGTATATAAAATTTTATATATTAATATTTATAATATAAGTATTATATACTAACTCAAAAATACTAATTCAATATAATTATTATAAAGAATTTTTATAATATATAATAATATTATTTACTATAATTTTTCATTAATATAAATTAATTAATCAAGTTATAATTTTTATTATATTATATAAAATTAATAATTATAATTAATAATAAATATTATAAATTGTATATTTATTTTAAATAAAATTTAAAATATATTAAAATAATAATAATATATTAAATTTAATAAATTTATATATCTTAAGTAAATTTAATTTAAAATTTGATTATATTTATAATTATTATATTAATTATTATATTAATTATACTAATTATTTAAAGAAAATAAAAAGTTAGTAATTATAATTGAACAAAAATCAAAATATAAAATTAGTTAGAGCTTTATAACTTTTTAAAAAAATTTATTAATATTTATAATAATATAATATTATATTTTTATGAATTTTGTAATTTATTACCATAGTAATATATTGTAGAACTCCAAATCTAATAGTAACAGGAACTGAAAATATAATATTAAACTTTTTTGAGTTTATAATTCTAAGCTTATTCTTTTAATTAATGAAAAACATAATGATATATTACATATGCAATAAATTATAATTCTCTATTTTTATAATATATTAATATATTAATATTCTTAACAAATTCATAAAATTAATAGAAATAAAAAATAATAATATTTATAATATTCTCCAGCTCAGATTTATTAACTTCTGTTAAATACAATATTTTTAGCAAAGAAATATCAGAAACAAGAAAACTTATCAATATATCTAATATATTCAATCCATAAATAATTTGGAAAACAAAGATAAGAATCCAAATTAAATGAAAATTGATCAACAGCAACAGCAACACTATATAACGATAGAATCCAAAATCAACTGACAAATAATAACAAATAAAATGATAACAATAATAAAATTCTTTCTCTTTGAAAAGATAACAATACAAATAAAATAAAGCTTATTCACAAAACAACCAATTTCACAGAGAACACCAATAAACAATAAACTGGACTATCTAACAGCAAAAGAAGACTTGACAAATTAAATTTGTTGTATTCCGACGAATTTTATTGGTTAAGGTTGTGATCTAAAATTTAATTGACCAATGATTGTGATGGCGTTAATTGTGATTAATTGTGGCACGGTACTACGTACAGTTAAAGTTCGATAAAGCGAACCCTCGATAAAGCGAACTCGCGTTAAAACGAAGAATTTTCAGGAACCAACCTATTAATTAAGAGCTTGATAAAACGAAGAATAATATAAATAGTACTTGATAACGTTAAGCGAAGTTTATTTTTGAATAACCCGAGGCCTTCGGTTTATCGAACTTTAACTGAACGCCGCTTTAACCCAAATTTAGGATAAGCGTAATGTCGATCTATGGCTTGTATCAGGGGTAAATCCAAATTAGGAATATGAAATTTGGTTCGAGAAAATAACGATCGTGGAATATCAGTGATACGTATTACATGTACGATAAATACGTACGTAATGACAACGATGTTCCATTTAATTTTTTACCGTTACAGAATTCAGTATTTATTATTTTCGAAACTGACATTTAATAAAGAAGGTGACATCACAATGAGCCATCTTCAAATTTCCCAATATCATCGAATTCAAGTTCCCCAATTTATATATCGATACGATTCCATACCGATACTAGCTAAAAAAGAAACATACGATGATTTTTATTTGGAAGTTCGTGCAAAAAACAGTTCTGAAGTGCAGTTTGAAAATGGAGAAGGAATTAAAAAAGCATTTAAGTGCCATCAAAGATTAGCAAAGAACGGAAATGCATTTGCACAATGGAATCTTGGTCTATGTTACGAATACGGCAAAGGTATCGATAGAGATGATGAAAAAAAAGCTTTTCTATGGTACCGAAGATCCGCGAAGAATGGTCTTACCTGTGCCGAAAATCGTCTTGAAAGTTATGAACATGCTGTGATAGTTTATGGCTTTAACTGGCCACGTCCACTTGCTCTACCAAATGTTTGTATGAGTTATAATATTAAGCAGCTAAAAAAACCAGAAAGTGTCAAAGAATACTGGCGTAAATGTGCAAAGCAATTGAAACTTGAATATCCTGTTGATGCAGGTGAGCTAATGTTTTTGATGTCACAATCCATAACTGGTTCATCGATCTTAATAATATATTAGTAGAACAAAAAGATGCCGAGAAATTACCTAAGGATAACGAAAATGGCTCAATACATTCGAAAGAATTCGATCTATTAAAAAATGGTGATTTATCTGTCGGAATGAAAATTGATAAAAATGGCATCAAGCAATGCATTCATCCTGCTATCGATTATAACGGATTGCCAATGCCAAAAATTGAATTCAAAGAATCTCAAATTTTACAGATAAAAAAAGCGTCACAAATTTGTGATATAAATATGCTATTCGCGGGATTAGAAATTGACAGAAATTTATCGAAGGAGACGAGAGACGTTACGGAACATTTCAACCTTTGTAGTGATTTAAAGACAAGCGCTATACATTGTGAAATAATCATAGAAAAAGCACAAATTGAATATGATATTAAAAATTTAAAACCGACTGCTAAGTTAAGCCAAGCTATTGACGAAGCGCTAGAATCTAATACACCAACCGAAAATCTAAATCGCGTTTTTGAAAAATATGGACATGTAATTAGTACCAAAATATTTATTGGAGATAAATTATTGCGAAGCATTATATATAATAGAAAACATATTGAGCTTAATGACTTTTCTCAAAAATTTAAGAAATTCTCTGAACTAGGTAAAAAATTTATTTTTTACAAATATTTTCTAGTTATATCTTATTTAACAAGTTGTTCTTTTCTAGATTTATCCTTTAACGTTAAAACATTTCAAGATCCGTATATGTATGAGATGGATAGCGATCCTATTGAAATGAGGTTAGTATAATATCTATTTTAAAATTATCCTAGAATCCAAGAATTTATTTATCTCTATTATTCTAGTCAAATTCCACAATGGCTTGAAAATGTATCAAATAAAAAATCTTCAGATTGGCGCGTTATTAGACGTGTTGTTACTCCATTATATAAAATTCTTGATATCAAGCAACAACAAAAGATTGAAAATCTCTATAAAAAAGAAGACCGAGTTTTGATGAACAATGAGACTCTGCTTAATAATGTATTATCCAAAGGCTATCAACGAATCGTTTTCGATGAGCCATTGAAGAGTAACAATTTTCAAATATACGGAAATATCGTGACTTCTGATGGCGAAAAGTTGCCAGAAATCGTGAAATTTAGTTTGAAATCGGAGGTTGGATTTTCAGTAAGTTGGAATGAAGAAATTTCTACCAATAAGTAAGTATTTATTATCTATAGTTTTGTATCTATGCTTTGTCAACTGTTTTATTTATTCCGGGTAACAATTTATCATGTTTAAAAGGTCGGTTAAACTTCAATGGATGCTAATCGGTTGTCCAAGTGAAGTAGGATATTTTGATTCGAAAACTCGTGATTTATCGGCCAAAACTGGTTTTAAAGTTTTACACCTTGATTCTAAAAGCAAGGTAAAAACAGAAACGTACAATAAATTAAATTTACATTCTTGGCTTACAAAAATCAATATCGGAGGACCGCTTTCGAAAAATAACATCATTTCGATTGGTATTGAATATCCTTCGTTTACTGAAATCTGCTTCAAATCCGATTACAAAGTATGTGGCTCAGTTCTCGAGGTCCTAATAACAATAGAAGGAGATGCGTGTATAGAACTTATGAAAAAGAATCAATTTGTGGTTGATATTAGGTGGTGTGTTTTGGAAGAATTAGACAAGATATAATAAGAGTTTATAGAAACCATTTGTCATGTGTTGTTAATTAAGCATTTATAAGAAGGTTTCCATTAATTGGTAACTCTTCTTCCTCCTCCCCATTTATATAGCCATAACGTAACATTGAATTTTCGAGCAGTTCCTTATTCTATTTTAGTTTACATTTTTCTTTAGACTAATATTTACATAGACATCCAGCTTCTTTTTATTTATTTAATTTATAGCTTTTTCTAGACTTCGTTATATGCTGAAAGTATGTCGAATTAATTATGCAAAATGAAATTAACACTTTGCTATATGCTTAATTTCATTTTGCATACTTAGAATACACCAACATTAACACACTGCGACACGTGGATGTTTTTTTTTGATTTTATACTTAATTATTTTTGACGAACTGACGGTTCTATTAATGAAAATTTTTCGAAAAGTTCGTTTTACGTACATCGCTATACTTTATACAGTCATATCCTATATAATCAGGAACACTAAACAGTGTGATTTTAAAGAGGTTTACTGTAGCAGTTAGATCTCGATTTAAAACGGTCGTTATCATTATTTCAAGAAATTCGTTTAATTTTTATTTAAAGAGTGATGTTAAAGTAAATATTAATTAGTCGCATAGTCGCTAAATCGAGGTCGGATTGTATCGGTATGGAGATATGACTGTAATAAATTTAAAACTTTAACGTTCGTTATGTCCCGAATTTGTCATAAAAAGGTTGTTATACATGTATACAGAGTTGAAGTTAATCCTCAATTTAACGATCACTATATTGAAATCGCACGCGAAGCATTTAACATTTTGAAATTTGATTATCGATTCTTTTTGAACAAGCGCTAGCGCTAGTTTAACTGTGGGTAGATAATTTTTGGATCGACAATAATCTAAATTTAAATTCAAAAAAATGCTCTTTACTCTGAATTATTCTCTTCCTATGATCCCAAAAATTCAAAACCCATTACTTTTAAGCTTTTAGAATTTTTGGCTATATAAAAGTGACGATAAATTTGTGAATATATAATGATATTCCGGCTGAAATATTTTTGCGTTAAAAACTGAGCCACAGTGAAATGAAAATAATTTGTGATAATCAACTAAATTTTAATATTTTAAAAGGATCAATCTAATTGTAACAACTGTTACATGCAACAACTGTTACAGGTGACAACTTCAATATTAACCAACCACATATCCAGAATTTCAGTTGAAATATTTTTTCGTTAAATCATGAGCCGCAGTAACTGTGCTGATCTATTTCCAAAATGAGATCAAGATAATAAGAATACAAGAAATGCGAAAAATACGAGAAACAGATGCCTAAATCTAGCTTGAAGTACTAATTAAAACTTCGGGGAGGCAATTTTATGTATGACTTATATCTCAGCATAACCCCAACCTTTTAATGTTAATTAATATTACAGTAGCATAGCGGGCTTAAATCTGATTGGTTGATCTTCAAAATGTATTACCGCATACAGTTAAAGTTCGATAAACCGAAGGCCTCGGGTTGTTCAAAAATAAACTTCGCTTAACGTTATAAAGTACGATTTATATTATTCTTCGTTTTATCAAGCTCTTTGTTAATATGTTGGTCCCTGAAAATTCTTCGTTTTAACGCGAGTTCGCTTTATCGAACTTTAACTGTAGTTGGGGTGAACTATGTAAATCAAATTTATGTATCGGTATCAAAAATGATTAGACCAAATTTTCGTGTAATGTATATGACAATCTATCTGAAAATGAATGGTGGTATTGTTACCATTTTAACATAAATTTCATAATTTCATCCAATGATATTCATATTAATTTGATACTTATTTGACATTACACAATCAAATTTGATATTTATTTGATATTACATTAGTGCTCCAACCGGGTCGGGTCCAATCCGTGACCTGATCTGGAATGCACATTTCGGGTCAGGTCAGATTGGAATCAAACCTGATCTGAAATAATTCGAATCAGTCTAAAAATCATTATTTTTATTTTTCGTTCAATGAAAATTTGGGAGCATATACACAATTATATTCTGAACAATTCTACTTAAACACAAAATACAAGTGTCTTAGTAAAAATAAAAGTTATTAATGAAAAACTATTTTACAATTTTTGGATCAAACCTGATTTGTATCTGATCTGACCCAAAATTTCAATTTGATGTTATGAACAGAATATATTTATTTTATGAATAATTAATCCCTTTTATTATATTTAAACATTTTTAATAATTTAAATTTATTAATTTAATTATCTATATTTCTATTAAACAAATTTGAAATTACATGATTTCTCTATATGTGATCCAAACAAATAATTTTATATATATGACTTTTCATATAACTTATTATTATTATTATTTATTATTATAACTTTTTATAATTTATTATAATTTTTATAATTTTTATAATTTTTATAATTTTTATAATTTCTTGTAATTTCTTATAATTTATTTGAATTTATTATGATTGATCAAAATTTACTATAATTGACTAAAAATTATTTAATTTTATTTTTATTATTTATTATTATTCATATTTAATTATTATTAACTGTAATTAATTATAACTAATTATAATTAACTAGTTAATAATTTGGTTTTTTAAAAAAAATATAAATATAATTGATTTTGTAGTTATAAAAAATTAAATTGTTGCAATTAGTTCTACCAATAACTTAATAAAATACTTAAATAATATTATTACACTTTACATTTATTAAAATAAATATTTATATTTTAAAAATACTATATAAATTTAATTAATAATTTCACTTTACATTTATTAAAATAAATATTTATATTTTGAAAGTGCTATACAAATTTAATTAATAATTTTTATATTATTAAGAATATAAAGTACACTTAGAATATAATTATACTAAGAAAAATCTTTTATTATAACACTTAATAATTATATATTTTATTTAATAATATTATTTACTTATGTTATAACTAAAATTAGTTATTTTAATATAATATTTTTATATAATTTAGTATTAGAATATAATAATAAATAATATATAATATCAGATTAAATTCAAGCTAATTCAATTTGATCTAAACAAAGCTTTATATTATACAAACAAATTTAATATTTATTTGATATTATATTATTTTTTTTAATTAATAATTAAGATAATATTAATAAATTATATTTTTATATACTTTAATATTTTTATTTTTCTTTTCATCTTTTATTTTTTTCTTTCTTAAATTAATCTTTTTGCTATTAATACATTTTATATTTATTTCAACAAGAATCTTTTTAATTTAAATTTTATTATCTTAAACTAATTATATATTATTTTTATCTTATCTTTATATTTATTGCTATTTCTATTTTTATTTTTTTTGTATTTTTTTATAATTTATTTAATTTTTATTAGAATCTTTTTTTTATTATAATTTTATAATTTTTTTAATATTTACTATTTATTATCATAATTTTTCAGTTATTTATATTATTATTATTAATTTTATTTTTAAAATTAATTTTCAAATTTTAATTAATTTTCTTAACTTACAAAATTAATTAATTCTAAATTAATCAATTTTAAAGTATTAATTTCTATTCTTACTTTAAATATTCTCAAACAAATTTTGATCAAATAATATTATTAATTATAAAAGAATTTTGATATTATTTTTTTTCTTTTAATAATTTACTAATTTCAAATAATATTTTGAATTATTATCTTCTTGCAAAATTTATTTTTTAGAATTATTTTCAAAAAATACTTAACAGATGAAAATACTATATTTGTATATTATAATTATAAATTTGATATCAATATTTTATTGAAAATAACTTATTAAAATTTGAAACAAAAGAATAATTACACATATTAATTTTTAATAAATACTTTATGTATTATAATATTTTTTTTCATTCAAAAAATTATCAAATCCTAAATAATAATTATTTTAAATTAAATATACTTTTATTTAAAATCTAATTTTATTTTAATTAAAAATTTATATTTTTTTTGTATAATCAAATCAGATATTTACTTAACCAATTTGAAAAAACAAAAGAAAAAAATATAAACTAAATTTAAAAGATTAAAATTTGTTTTGCTACTTAAATTTATAACTAAATAATTTTTGAAAATTCTATTTTAATATTTAAAATAGAGAAGAAATTAATCTATTTCAATTATTTTTTTTAAGAATATTGATAAATAGAATTTTTTCATATATTTATCTTTATCTTCTTCATATAAATATTATTGAATAGTTTTCAAATTATAGTGCTTATCAGAAATAATACACTTTTATAACTTTTTATAGATTGTATATAATATTCTAAAATTTTTTGAACACAAAAAACATTATAAATACTAATTATAATATTTTTTAAAGATTGATAAAGCTTCTATATCAGATATTATATGTTCATAAACTTTTATATTACAAATATAATCAGTTAGTTTATAATATATATCTTAATATTAAATAATCTAAGTCTTAATATCTAGTAATTCTAGTTAAGATAAATCAAATAGTAATATTTTTTTCAAATCAAATTATTAAATATTAAAATATTGTATTTAAAATAACAAATTTATTTTTAATATTAATAAAATTTATTTACCAATTTAGAATATAATATCTCAATTTTTAGTAATCTATTTCAAACAAAATATATAATTATTCAATTTGTAAGAATACTTTCTTATGTGAAAAGTATTAAGATAAATTTATTAATTATTATAAATAAATTATATCAATTAAGATAGTTTTTAGTTTTAAAGTTTATTTCTTTATTTATTAAATAATAAAAAAATCTAAAGAGCTATAGTACAGAACAGAAATATTTAAATATATAATTGATATTAAATAAATTATAAATAAATTAATAATAAAATAGAAAATAATTAGTTCTAAATTATTAATCTTAAAGTGACACATCTCCAAGTTATACTGAACTTAATAAGATATGTATAAAATATAATAATAAAAGATAATTAATACAAATTTGAAATAATAAAAGAAAAAGAAAAGAATAAATAAAAAAAAGAAATTAAAAACAAGATGTGTCTAAATTAATAATGTAATTTATATTTTATATCTAATCTTATTTGATGAAATATTAAAAAGTATTAAATATAAATCTGTATTAATTTTTAATATATTATGCAAAAAAATAATAAATATAATATGAAAAATGATGAATATAATACAAAAATATATAAAAATTGTTATACAATTTATCTTAACTATAATAATATAGTATTTTTATAAACTGAACTGAATTTTTGTCTGAATTTGAGTTTAGTTCAAAATTCAAATTGAACTCAAATCAGACTTTGACTTGAGTTCAAGAAAGATTTGAAGTTCAAATTAAACTCAAACTGAATCATAATACAAATTTAAATTTGGTTCAAGTTCAATTAAAAATTAGCATATAGTATCATATATTGATTTGTAGCTCTAAATATAGGCTATAATTTTATATATAAGCACAATTTATGATATTTAATAAGAATTAAACATTTATATAGTGATAATTAAAGTATTTTTATTTTTATATTATTAAATTTGATCATAAATACTATGTAACTCTTTGAATTATTATTATTAATAATAACTATTTTATATTAATTTGTAACTTTTATTTCTGGCTATAACTTTACTTATAACTATAGTTTATGATTACTACAACAAAATAAATATTTATTATACTAAAACTAAAGCAAATTAAAATTGTAATAGTTAAAATTATTTTTAAATTCATATAACTTCTTAAATATTTATCCTAAGTATTAACTATTTTATATCAATTTTTAGCTCATATTACAATCTTAGAACATTAACAAATATTTACTTGACTTGAACTTGACCAAAAGTTTAATTTGAGTTCAAGTTCAAAATTTGAACCAAACTTGAACTAGACTTTTAATTAGGTTCAAATTTTTGAACCAGATTTTTGATTAGATTCAAGTCCAGTTCAAGCTCAAACTAAATTAGACTTGAACTGAATCAGACTTTTTTTCAGAACTCTAATATGGTGCATCTCACTTAATTATATTAAATACTTTTGAACTATAAAAAATTTTATCTTAAATATATAATCATTAAAACAAATACATTATAAAATAGTTTTTGATATAATCTATAACATTATGTATTTTTTTGTCCATTTTATTATAAAAATTATTTGTAGTTAGATTTTTTTTAACATCAATTTTAATAATAAAAGTGAAATTTTCAGCACGCGAAATATTGTGTATTGTTTTTGATTGGTTGTATTTTATCATGTAAAATTACATGATCATTTTTCATGAAAATTCTAATTAGCATGGCATATATTAACTTATTTGAAAATGATAATCCTTAAAAATTCAGCAGTGGCGCAATATTTGATGCGCGACTAAGTGAGACGCACCATAGACAAATCGAATGATATCGATTATTATTTTTGAATCGGATCACTGGTGATTTTCTGGCGATCAATTTCTAATGAAAAATTGATCGACAAATACAATAATCGGTCACTTTAGGACATAATATCTCAACCAAAATACTACCATTCGATTTGTCTAATCTAGAAAAATCAAATGGTAGTATTTTGGTCGAGATATTATGTCCTAAAGTGACCGATTAATGTATTTGGGGCATGAAAGTTTATGAACATACAATACCAATCTATAAAAGGTATCATACTTCTGACAAGCACTGTAGTATTGATGTTTCGTTTGTCCATTTCCCGTTGTATATCAGCGGCGATTGCATTAGTTTGCTTCTGTGCAAGCTCTAGAATCTTTTCGTCTTACTTCGGAGTTGTGGATCGATTTCTGCCAGATTTGTTTCCTGCCATCTTTGGACTCGATAAATCACTGTGGTAAATGTATTTAGCTGTAGCTTCAAATCCAAGCTTTGGACCTTTGGGGTGGGTGTGTGTAAAAAAAATGATTTCGTATCATTCAAGAGTTGGGAGCGACATTATTTATGTGTATCTAAAAGGTGTTGTTCTTTGTATATACGTACTCGGAAGATTTTGGTACATTACACATGATCTATCGTTATGGAAAGTTGTGAGGGTGTATTTTGTCGAGTATATCGTTTTTCATTAGTGGTCCAAATTCCATTATATGAGAGCCAGCAATTACCAGTCATTTTCATCTTTAATATCTTGCGAGGTAATATTTTACTTTTTTATAAGTTATTGTTCTACAAACGTATTTTTATCAATCTTTAACATTGCCTGAATAAAAGAACAGAATAATTATTATTGTCTGAAGGTTATTGATCTGGGAGTTGAGACTTCAGACAAAAATTTCTAGTTAACTCTTAAAATTATATGTAAAACAACAGAAAAACACTGAAAAAGCCAGAATATCTCAAGATCTCGTGCTTTAATTTTTAAGTAGCATTTGTGGCACCAGTTGAAACTATGTATAGACGCATGAAAAATTTCGTTCATGTACATGTATTTACAATCATGATATATATAAAAATATTGCATTCATGTGTTACGAAAAAAAAATGACATCGGATCAAAAGATGGAATTACAGCAAAAATTGCACTGAAAGCCACAAGGTATATATAGAATTTTATATTAATTTGCATGGATTTAATAGGTCCGTCGGTTCCAACGATCCGGACCGGACCAATTAACAGCCATGTTTCTAATATCTAACAATAATTTCTCTCGTTATTTCGACATTTTGGAGCGCTTACTACATGAATACAATACAACTTATAACTGCGAAGCATTCAACGGAAATACCAAAAAAAAATGACCGCTTAACTTACCAATTGCTTCTTTGATGGCCACCGCCAACAAACTTTAAACTACTAATTGCCCACTCTGGTGAGTGTTATCACAGTGTGATTATACTTTTGAATTTTGACGAATTATATACGTATTCGCGTCAGCGGTAGTTGCGTTTCTCATCAAAATTTACAATAATTCATTACTCTGACCATTTCGACTACTGCAACTTGTTAGTTTCCCATTCAATTACATTTTATTTAAAACTCTATAATGATAAAACAATATACGTAGACTAAAAGGCTGCATTTGATATAACAATTATTCGGTTAATATATTACATCCTTTTCTAATCTGTGTTTACAGAAAAATACGCAACTCGATGATTTTTAGTAATCGGATTATTGAGGGATTGAAACACAGCATATTCGGGAGCTATTTTGAAAAAGCCATGGACACACTTCTCTGGACAATTATCCAGGATCAAACTTATAAAAACCGGACTTTGTAAGGTGGGTTGTGGGCTTCGAAGGGCTTGTGTTGATACAATTTGTGGGTATTTTTCAAAAGTGATTTTAGATTTTTTCGAAGGTAGCAAACGAAGGCCAAAATTTTTTTTGGTTATTTGGGCTTGGCCAAATCGATTATTTTGTTGTCCCGAAATTAAACTTTTAAATAAAAGCCGAATTAATTAAAAAATTAACTTTAAAAGAATTTTCCAAGAACTATGTGAAAATTCACCTGTAGTTAACAAAAAAATCCGACTTATCGAACTGATATATCGGTCTCACTTTTGAAAACAGAATGAAAAAAATTAGTTTAATAATAAATAAAAAGTAGATTATATATCTTAGAAAAACTTACTTTTTTGATCATAACAATATGTGCATGCACTAAATTCATTATCTCTATAACCAAAATGAGCTCCCATGATAAATTCAGATTTCGGATTATTTTGCAAATTTTTTGATTTAGAAACACAAGTTGATATTAAACTGGTATTTATATCCCGCTCTTGATTCTTAGTAATAACCGAGTAGTGATTATTGTTAAATGAAACCGTTTCACTTTCTAAAACCAGCTTTTTAGTTGTCTGCTCAAATAAATTTAGTGTTGATATTCCAACCACAATGTATCCTAACTTTAAAGAAAAGTCTTTTAAAGTTGATTTATCTTTTAGTTTTCCTAATCGATGTAGAAGAATTACTGGTTGGCTTCTATCATCAACATAATGAAGTCGAGTCGCAAATACTGCCTTTGAATTCTCGTCACTCATCCCTGTTACAAATATTTGATCTGTGTTTGAGAATCTAAAATTTCTAGGAAATTCATACATAAATGGCTTTCTTTTAGATAAGTCAAAAGTAATGTTAAGCTCAACAACTTGAGAAACAAGTATTTGTTTTCCAAGTGCTTCCGATACTTTCAATCTTCGTTCATCATCGAGAATATCAAATATCGATCGAATTTCTGAAAATTCAGCTATTTTCCAATTTCGATAATCGTTTAATGATTTAATCCATCCTATACATTTATTGATCAATAAAAGTATCATAAATAATTAGGGACTGGAACCATGTGTAAAACTTCATTCGAATACCCGCGTCCTTTTTAAATCGGGTATCCGGTGAATTTGGGTGAAATCGGGTTAAAATTTGCTAGCAAACTTTCACGAGTATAATGTTTAAGAGTCGACGAATGAGCAAAAATATTTATTTTTGCCTGTTAATGTTATAAACCGGATCAGCTCACCCGGATGTATATCCGTATTGAAAAATCCTAATCCGGGTGAACTGGACCTTGATAAATAATTATATAAACATACCAGCGATTCCTTGTTCATGATAGTACTTTTCTAAGCCACCGTGTACCACTAAAAGTTTAAAGCTATTATTTGAAGCTTCCAGGTTGCCATTTTCTCCCGCTGGAACTCCAATTCCAACTGGTTGAAGTGTTGGTATATTTGTTGAACCCGTTTCATTTGTTTCTTCATATATGATAATACCTCCAATCTCAAGCCTCTTACACCAGAAGTATCCAAAATCGTCGGCAATTTTTTTGAGAAGCGCAAGTTTATTATTAGATTCGAGTGCCTTATCAACTGCACTCACGAATTGTTTGGTCGGCTTTAAATCCGATACATCCAGTATTAATATTGCCTTTCCTCTTTTGATTTTATGGTAAACAGTTTCAATTTTCTTATTTGGATTCTTTTCGTATTTTGATGATGTTGGTAAACTAGAATAGATTTTAAAATGATATTAAAAATTTATAAATACTGAAAAATTTCCATCAAGACTCTTACCCTGGTAATTTCTCATTGAGATTTGTAGTAGTAGCGATGTAATTTTTTATGTACAAATTTTCAATTTCTGTTTGACATTTTACTACTTCATTAAAGTAGGGTGACAATGGTAAATTTTTCTGTGTATAACGCAAAATATTAAACGCCTTTTCTTTTGCTTCTACCGGTCCTGTTTCCGTAAAATGAAGTCCATATTCTAATCTATTATTTTCTATTATCTTTTTCCAATCTAACATATCTTTGATTCTTAGGTTATCGTCAAAAATAATTTCCGATAGCAAAAATTCTGATTCTTCGCTTTTAGGGATTCGAGCAGAAAATCGCAAAAAATTCATGTTGTCGTTCATTTGGATTTCGTTTTTAGATAGTAAAACCCGAAGCTCTTTTAAGTTAGCATTTATGTCAAGTTTTATAAGCATGGGCGTTTCTTCATTGACTTGGATATTGATAAGTTTTTTAACTTTTGTAGATGAAATATTTTCCATGATTTTTATTGCTGACTTTGAAAAAGTAAGAAAAAGGAAATAAATGCTAAACGTTTATCGTTATTGATGTAACCAAATACATGTAGTAATTACGACTCGATGCATAAAATCTCTGTTTGTAATACATGAACGTACTTTCTATCGCTATCACACATAATATTTCATGTTTTTGTCAACACCAGAAATTCTGAAGCGTTATATATATAGGATACAACAACAAAGATTATCGTTATCGCTATTCTTAACGTTAATGTTAATAACGCTAAAGATAGGGCATCCAAAGAATCGTTATCGATAAGCCATTTAAATTTATCAAATATCATGAATTTTCGTCTGAAATCAGAATACGGTTTCAGTAAATTGTTGAATTTACGAAAAGATTATATTTAAACTAGCGATTTTTTTTATTTTATAACGATAAGCTTGTAAATACCATTTGTTGTCCAGGTGAAATCGGTTCTGGTTCAGCAAGCAAATAAAACTGGGTTTACAACATTGAAAATTAGCATAATGTTACCGAAATATAACAAATTTCGTCGATCTCGTGATTTCCGGAGAGGCTCGCTCATCTCGATTTAAACAATTTACTTCGTCTATCCGGGCCTCTTTGTGTAATGTCCTGCATTTCCTATTCTAGATTTTTCGCTTCCAAATTCGTTTTTTAAGTTCACCTTTCAACATAATAGTAATGATAGTGGTTTCACTTTTACAAGTCGCTTTCAAATTCGCTTTTCATTTCGCTTTTGTTTCCCACCCATAGTGGTTTCACTTTTACAAGTCGCTTTCAAATTCGCTTTTCATTTCGCTTTTGTTTCCCACCCATAGCATTTTCAAATAATAATATATTAACGTAAACAGAGCTAGTGTTACCGGGTTAATAATAAATTCGTCAATCTCTCGATTTTGGTAAAAACCGTTTAGCCCGATTCGTTAATTTAAATTCGCTTTTGTTTTCTAGCTTAAATTCGATTTTATTTTCTATCCTAAATTCGCTTTTGTTTTCTATCTTAATTTCGCTTTAGATCTTGCTTTTATTTTCTATTTCTTTTTCTATTTTAAATTCTCTCTTAAACAATAGAATGCATTATGCAATGAGTTCCGAAATAATGTAACCAAAAAATGTATATATAGTCCTCGCGGATGTTAATAAAATAAATTGTGTACAATTCTTCTCCAAGAAAATATAACTTGTAAAAATTGTTGTAATTGATTATGGTTAGGTCCTTTAATCCAGAAAAGGCATTTATATTGTTAAATCAGCATATTGATTGATTGAAAAGCGCTTTGTGATTAGTTTAAGGCTTTTAGCTAGAAAAAGTAACGATTAGAAGTTAATAGGAAGAATATTATCGATAAACCGTCACATAAAAACATAAAACCCGAACCATCTTACCTAAAAACTGATCCACTCAAACTCCTCTCTCTACCATTATACTGAAACGATATCTATAGATATCAGCACGGGAATTAGAAACGATCAAGTATTACTCAGTCTAATTACTCCCCCAACCCATTGTTATAGGTAAAATCGTCGATTACGCCTAATCACGATCAACCTGTGACAATACGTACACGCATAGTAACGGTAACATTCAAATACATAAATTTTTTTATTTTTTTTATAATAAAGAAAATACATACCAAGCATGTCAAGAAATACAGAGGAAAATGTCTTATTTGAAATGGATGGAAATGTATATAACTATAAAATAAAAAATATCTTCTTTTTTATTATTTTAAAAAAAATAGCAAATAATTAAAAAACTACATACATTATTCCAGTATTTCGAGAGTTTGTTGGTCAAAGTAAATTTGGTAATGCTTAAAATATATACATGGATTAGTTTTTTTCAAAAAATCTTTAACATGCAAAAATAATAAAAAAATATTTAACCTGTATTATCCGTAATGTTGCAAGGTTATATTAATCTGAAAATGAAACAGAAAAAGTCTTTAAATAAAAAA